GTCAAATATAATCTTAAATGAAATCAGTTTCATCCAGAGTTAAGTGAAGATTAGGCAAAATTGTGATAATTATATGTATTTACTAGACAGGAAAGAAAAATAATACAGAGTCTTTTGTAGCTGTCTATATCTTTAAAAATATGTTAACCATCCCTGTGTTTTCATATTCAGGTATCCTCAGTCTGTTGGAACATGGAGAAGAGTACACATTTTCTCTACCTTCTGCATATGCCCGGTCAATTTTGACTGTTCCTTGGGTAGAACTGGGTGGCAAAGTCAGCGTTAACTGTGCAAAAACTGGATATTCAGCCAGCATCACTTTTCATACTAAGCCATTTTATGGTGGCAAACTACACCGGTAAGGACATAATTTTAATCATATCAGACACTTTTTTTCCCACTTTGGTCTTATAACTCCTCATTCTTTTTCTGCTTTATTTTATGTAGTTGAAGGTGGACTTTTATTCCTGTTTATTTTATATTATATTTAATCTATCAAGGTATTCTGAAAATCATGATCTATTTTTAATTATAGTGACAATATTAATATATCTACTTTCATAAAAATGTCCCTGATGAAGTAACTGCAGAGATGTAGAATAGAATGAGTATACAAGTGAGTATACAGTCTTTGCAATTCTGCCTATGGGGTGTGACAATTAAGTTTGCAAACTTGATACCATGTGTTTACATTGGCAACACTGTAATCTTAGTATACCAGTGTCTCAGAGTTGTGTTCGTGTTGATATGTGGTGATTTCTTACTGAGTGGCATTCATTATTGTTGTTGCATGTTTTTGTGTGTCATCACAAGAATGTCTGAGCTTGAATTAGAGTACTGAACAAACTTTCATAAATTTCTTGTTAAACTTGGCAACAGAGGACGTGAAATCAGGAAGATGTTAGTCCAAGTTTATGGGGTTAAGGCCATGAAGAAAATGGCTATGTACAAGTGGATTAAATGTTTTGTGAGAGGAGAGACGTTATCTCCGATAAAGAGAAGTCAGGGTGGCCAGTAACAAGCAGAACTGGTGAAAACATTGCAAAAATTCATCTAATTGTGCAATAAAATCATCCAGTGGCATGTGAGAAGCATAGCAGACAAATCAACATCCATAGAGAAACAGGAAAATCTTTTTTTTTTTTGAGACGGAGCCTCAAGCTGTCCCCCTGGGTAGAGTGCCATGGCATCTCAGCTCACAGCAACCTCCAACTCCTGGGCTCAAGCAAGTCTCCTGCCTCAGCCTCCCAAGTAGCTGGGACCACAGGCGCCCGCCACAGTGCCTGGCTATTTTTTGGTTGCAGCCATCATTGTTGTTTGGCGGGCCCGGGCTGGGGATTCGAACCCGCCACCTTAGATGTATGTGGCTGGCGCCTTAGCCGCTTGAGCCACAGGCACCGAGCCGAGAAACAGGAAAATCTTAACTGAAAATCTTGGCCTACTCAAGGACTCAAGGCTCTTGGATCATAACACTTTACCAGCTCACACAGTGCTATCTGTGAGGAAATTTTTAGCCAGTAAACAAATAACTATATTGGAACACTGGCACTATTTACCTGATCTGGCCCCAATGATTTTTTTATTTACCCCCAAACAAAGAAAAAACTGAAAGGAAGACATTTTCATGACATTCAGGACATTAAGGGGAGGTAATGCAGTGATAGCTTTGATGGCCATTCCAGAAAAAGAATTTCAAAATTGCTTTCAAGTGTGCACTAGGTGCTAACATCAGTGCAGTAGCTTCCTAAGGGAAGTATATGTCAAAGGTAACTAGTGATATTCAGCAGTGAGGTATGTAGTACCTTTCTTAGGACAAGTTCGAGAGCTTAATTGTCAAACCTCGTAGATTTGGGCTGGGCAGTTATAGCTCAGTGAGTAGGGTGCCGGCCACATCCAAGGCTAGCAGGTTGGAGCCCAGCTTGGGCCTGCTAAACAACAATGACAGCTGCAACCAGAAGATAGCCGGGCATTGTGGCAGGTGCCTGTAGTCCTAGCTACTCGGGAGGCTGAGGCAAGAGAATCGCCTAAGCCCAGGACTTGGAGGTTGCTGTGAGCTGTGATGCTATGACACTCTACTGAGGGAGACATAATGAGACTCTGTCTCAAAAAAAAAAAAAAAAAAAACAGAAAAAGAAAAAAAAACACCATGGCATTCTACTAATAATGTGACTCTGTCTCAAAAAAACAAACAAACAAAAAACCAGATTCAGATTTGGATATGGACTTTAGCAAAGGCTCCTATTGCTACAAATTACAATGGAAATATATCTAGTTCTTTATCTAAGAAGTAATCTGAGAAGCACAATGATTGAAGCCTTCATCTTTTTAGGTACCAATATTGAATGGTAACTTTATTCTAATTTCATCTAGGAATTGGCCAGTTATTATACTCCTTTCTTTCTTGCCATGTTAGTCTCTTCAGCATTAGTCCAGATCACCCAAACCTCATGAAGACAAGTTTTCTAATGGGGTCCTCAAAAGGATACTGACTCTTTTTTTAAGCCCTTGATGTCTAAACCACTTGTTCCTGAAGTGTTGGTTTTTTTTTTTTTCCAAAACAGGGTCTTACTCTTTCACCTAGGCTGAAGTATAGTCTCACGATCATAGCTCACTATATAGCCTTGAGCTCCTGGGCTCAAGCAGTCCGTCTGTTTCAACCTCCTGAGTAGCTGTGACTAATTTGTGTGCTATCATATACAGCTAATTTAAAAATTTTTTTTGGTAGAGACAGGGTCTTTTTTTTTTTTAAGAGAGAGAGTCTCACTTTGTCACCCTTGGTAGGGTACTGTGGCATCATAGCTCACAGCAACTTCCAGCTCTTGGGCTTAGGTGATTCTCTTGCCTCAGCTCCCAGGTAGCTGGGACTACAGGTGCCTGCCACAACGCCTAGCTATATTTTTGTTGCAGTTTGGCTGGGGCCAAGTTTGAACCCACCACCCTCCGTACATGGGGCTGGGACCCTACTCATTGAGCCACAGGTGCTGCCCAAGAGACAGGGTCTTGCTGTGTTGCCAAGGCTAGTTTCAAACTCTTGAGCTCAAGCAAACACCCCCCACACACACACACACCCTCACACCCCCACTGCCTCCCAAAGTGTTAGGATTATAGCCATAGTGTGAGCCATGACACCTGGTCCTTAAAATGGTCTTTATAAAGATTTTTTTAATATGAGTTATCTGCTTTTTAATGAACTGGATAATTCCCCCCCAAAAGCTTTTCTACATTGATTCCATTAATCAATATCTCTCTAAGGGAAGATTTTTTATGTTATAAAGTCTTTTTTTTTTTTTTTTTGAGACTGAGTTTCACTCTGTTGCCCTTGGTAGAGGGCCATGGCTTCACAGCTTACTGTACCTCAAACTCTTGGGTTTAAGAGATCCTCTTGCCTCAGCTTCCCCAGTGACTAGGACCACAGGTACCCACCACAATGCCCAGCTATTTTTGGAGGCGGGGCTCTCGCTTTTGCTCACGCTGGTCTCAAACCTGTGAACTCAGGCAGTTCATCCACCTTGACCTTCCAGAGTACTAGTATTACAGGCATGATCCACTGCCTGGCTCTTCTTTTTTAGACAGGGTCTTGCTTTGTTGTGCTAAGCTAAGCTAGAGTCCAGTGGAGCAGACGTAGCTCACTGAATCCTCTAACTCAGGGGTCCTCAAACTTTTTAAACAGGGGGCCAGTTCACTGTCCCTCAGACCGTTGGAGGGCTGGACCGTGGGCCCTGGGACAAGTTGGCTGCTAAGCAGGACAGGCAGTGGCGGCAAAAACACCCAGCGGGCGGGATAAATGTCCTAGGTGGGCTGCATGTGGCCCATGGGCTATAATTTGAGGATGCCTGCTCTAACTTCTTAGTTCAAGCAGTCCTCCTGCCTCAGCCTCCCAACTACTTGGGACTACAGGCATGCACCCCATGCCTGGCTAATTTTCCGCTATTTGTTTAGAGAGGAGGTCTTACTATCATGTCCAGGTTGGTTCTTGAACTTCTGGCCTCAAGCATTCCTCTGACCTCAGTTTCTCAAAGTGCTAAAATTACAGTGCCCAGCCTGATAATGTGGTCTTTAATGACTAGTTACTGAAGACTTTCCTGCATTCATTATATTACAAGTGTCATTCTCCAGTGTGAATTCTCACATTGGCAAGTGTGACTCTGTAAATGGATTTCCCCCATTTATTTCATTCAACTGTGTCTGGTGTATGAATCCTCTGGTGTTCAGCAAGAGACTTTCTCCTGTTAAAGGCTTCTGCAGTTGGGATTTCTTCCCAGGGGAATTGTCTTGTTTACAGCAAGGCCAGATACCCTGCTGTGGGCTTTTCTACAGTGATTACAGATAACCCTCTATGAGTTTTCTAATGTCTGTTAAGGTATAGCTGTGGTTGAAGCCTTGACCACTTACTACATTTTTAGGGTTTCTCTACTGTTTGAATTTTACTGTTTCAATATCAAACTAAAACTCTGGTCTAATAGTCCTCCACATTGATAAAACATGTTTTTTTTTCCTCCAGTATGAATTCTTGTGTATTATAAAGAAAGATCTGGATGAAGGTGTGTTCACACTTAACTACATTTACAGTTCTTTTTTTCCCAAATGTGAATTGTCTTGTGTTATCTAACAGCCACATAGATCACATTTATATAGTTCCTGTCTGGTATGTATTTTTTCATATTGTTTAAGGAATGAATGATTATGGAGTGTTACCTCATGTGTTTGCTTTCATATGGATTTCCTCCATTATGTTTTCCCTTAGGCTGTTTAAGATATAAGTGATTAGTAAAGGCTTTCCCAGAGGGTTTTTCTCCAGCAGGAGTTCTCCCATGTCTTTAAGGGGTAAATAATGACTGTAGAATTTTTCAAAATCTATATTATTCATTGTAAGGTTTTATTCATCATAAGGTTTCTCTCCTCTGTGATCTTTCTTGGGTTAATGTAAAGAGAACATCTATATGTGTCATTGCATGTTGAGCTGTGAGGGGAAACTTCTTTATTCATTACAATTCAAAGATTTCCTTTCCAGTACTAAATCTCTGATAAAAAGGAAATAAGAAGCTGTTAAAAGCTTACCCGTACTTATTTGTATTTGTACATATGGATTTTCTGACATACTTTAGTTAAAACCTTATTCTACATTTAATACGTTGTGTTACCTCTCTTACGTGTTAAAATTTTCTTCTTTTGTAATAGCTCAACAACATAGCTATTCTGATTAATTTTTTTAATTTTTTAGAGACAGAGTCTTACTCTCTGTAGAATGCTGTGGCATCACAGCTCATAGCAACCGTAGGCAACCTTAGGCAATTCTCTTGCCTCAGCCTCCTCAATAGCTGGGACTATAGGAACCTGCCACAACGCCCGGCTATTTTT